AAAAGAATTCCTCCCTTTGCACCGGAGCTGATTTAGAAATTGTTATGAAGTTTACCGCAGGTGGGTCATTTCGATGATAACATCATTTCCGAAAAACACAAATTTACTTCTTCACAATTACTGGATCTATATTGGACACTTTTAAACCGTCCTTTGTCGTCCTAAATATCGCCTCGGGTAAGTATTCAGATATGAGTTAATGTTTTCCTTCTTTTCAACCTTACTTGGCTCAAGGAGTAAAGATGATCTTTAATTTATTTATTAAGCCAGACTGTTCATCTCCGATTTGATTCCTTTGCTAAGTTTAAATTGTGTTTACGTAATTGTTGCGCAAGTAAATTTTCAATTAAGTCAACAATATTATATTGGAGGATGTCGGCGTCTTCATTGCTTTACAGTTTACTTGAAATTTGTAAACGTAAAATTCAATTTAGTACTAAACATGTCGCCGATTAAAACAACATAGATGCAATACAAACTGAATTTAAAAATGACTACGACATTAAATCGGAACTTTAGACAACATGGTATAAAACTACGACATTCAATCTGAACATTAACACATCTTTAAGATTTATATTGTACTATTGTTTATAAAATACAAAAAAAGGACAAAAATGCATGTGAGAGCGTTCAAAATATATATAAAGAAAAAACCAATTTATTATCGTAATATCGTATTCAGTGGGTAGTTCATTTTCTTAACGCAATTTATATGTACTGGACATATCTGTCTAGGGTTAAAATATGGACCAATCCCTTATATATCAATTTGCCCGATTTACTTTAAAGTTGATAAATAGTCTGCAAAAAAAAGAAAAACTAAAATAAACAAGAATATACGTACCTCAAGCCCTCTTTTCCTTCCTTTACCATCTCCACGATCTGCAGTCCAATTATACGATGATATATGACTGAAAGATGCAAAAAGCAGGGCAACAGTAAGCAAAATAACTGCACTTGAATTCATCTTTGTCTGATATGTATCAGCCTGAATTGAGTTTCAACCACTTTACTAGCTCGAGTGGAACTTGTCAGTGAATGTGGTCCAAACGGTCACCGGATCCTTTTTATAAGCACATCTCAGTAGGAACACCTTTTTAATTTGCAAGGAAAACTGACATTTCATGTATACTGCACAAGAAAATCCTAGAATGAATGATGTCATTCATTTATTTGCGTGCAACGTTACCTAATTGCCGTTCATTGATCGAGTCCAAGTGTACCGCTAGTTCACACATCGCCAATTAGGTCTTGAAATAGCTCTTCCTTTCAATGGACAAATATCCGGTTTTGTGCACTTGAGTAGGCAGCGTTCACTTCAATGAGAGGCTTCGTTAATTACCAAGTTAAAAATGAAAAATAAAACATGTAAAGAAAGTTATAAGAAAGAAAGCAAAGAAAATAAACGCTTTTTGATCGCACGTCTTCAAATAATTGAATCATTCCAACTTGACTACGAAGAATCAAATAAAACATACTCAAACTTTTCAACAAATTAACGTCTTTGTCTTGAGATACACGCTATAAGCCCGGATATAACTGCGTAGAACGTCCCTTTCATTGAACCATTGCATTGTTGGTGACTGTTCCGGTTAACTGTAATTTCCTTTTCGGGGCATGTTCTTCAGGACATCGACAAAATGGACAAGGCAATGCTCGTAATTTCGCATATATGTATGAATGTAATATTTGCTTTATTTTTCTATTGAAGTAAAAGAATCTTCTATAACTTCAACCTATTTCGAGTCAGCTGTTTTATCAAGCTAGCCCGTATCCGCCCGGTCAACAGCTAGAAATGATAAAGGACTTTTAGTGCGGGGCATCTTCACAAACACTATCAGTGGAAGATCGTTGAGTGAGTAATATCTTCATACTCGTTTATCAATTCTCAAACAATTTTCCATATAGTTGTTTTCTAATGAGAACAGTCATAAAATCTATTTATAAATCAATTCATCAGTTGAGCATAACGACAAAATTAGTAAATGAATGACTGGAGAGATAGAGAAAGTAAGTAATGTCCTTCCAAGTTATCTGCAGATGATATGAAACATAAATGTTCTATCTAATCACTCATGATTCTTCTTAAATATTTATGGCTGATTCGTGAAAAGGGTTTCTATTTTATCATATCCCCGATTGTCACAAATTGATGTCTAAGTTTTAGAGATTTGAACAACTTGCTGTAGTTCTTTAAGCAAAGTAATTAAGATAGTGGTCAACTTGTTTAAAGAGTGCCCAATTGAGTGAGGTTCTCGAATGATTCTTTTGATTCAAAAGAAAACCTACCACATTCCCAGCAGGTCACAAATCAAGATTTCAACAACGAGGTGAAAATTTCACCAGCAGAGTAAAATGAAGAAAGAGGAAGCAGGAATAGAATGAATAAACTCACTAGCTGAGGCTAATAAAACAAACTCATTTTCTAGTCTCAAACAATG